CAGCAGCAGCAGCAGCAGCAGCAGCAGCAGCAGGAGGAGGAGGAGGAGATGGGCACCGTATAAACCGGAATGAAGGGGTAGAGGTGGCGCAGTGCTTGCTGCTGCCTGACGTGCTGCTGCCGCCTCGTGCTGCTAGCAGCTCCGATATATTTTATGTTGCTGCTGCTTCTCCTGCATGCGGTCTGCTGCTGCTTAACTTTATTGTCACCGAGCCAGAATATACGCATGCATTTAGTTCTTCTGTCTTTGTTGTGCGGCACCTCCCCGGCTGCTTCTGCTGCTGCAGCGCAACAGCAGCACCCATACCTGACGGCTTGCTGCAACTGCAGCAACAGCAGCAGCAGCAGCAGCAGCAGCAGCAGCAGCAGCAGCAGGGTAAACTATTACTATCATATGATTCTATGGGTTCAATAGATATAAGAGAAATATATACAAAAGATATAAACACAGTAGCAACAGCAGGCACAGATATGTTGCTGCTGTCTTGTCTCTCTCCTTCTTCTTCTCTATTAACCTTAATCGCCCTCATCCCCAACGCAGCAGAGTACCCTGGCTGCGACCTGCATGCAACGGTGGTGGAGCTTGCTCCGATGGGGGCCCCCCAGGGGGGCCCCCATGGGGGCCCCCATGGTACAGGGGGCCCCCATGGTCTTGGGGGCCCCCATTGGGGGGGGGGCCCCCATCACAGAAGCGGGAACGGGGGGCCCCTCGGTGCTGCTGCTGCTGAACCCTGGGGGCCCCCTGTTATTACCTGGGTTGGGGGGGAGGAGAGTGTGGGGTGGGGAGACGACGATCCCCAGGGGGCTGATGGGGAGGAGACAGAAGAGGAGACAGAAGAAATGCTGCTGCAGCAGCAGCGGGATAGCTGCCGACAATATAAACAATTGCTTTGTGTTGCTGCTGCTACTGGCTGTGTCTTTGTATATGAACTCTCTTTCTATCAGCAACCAGAGCAGCTGCGCAGCAGCAACAGCAGCACCAACCACCACCAGCACACCAAGCACAACCCCCAGCAGCAGCAGCAGCAGCAGCAGCAGCAGTTGCTGCAGTTCAGGCTGCGTCTGGTGTATAGACTCGACGGCAACCGGGGCCGCTCGCTGCTGCTGCCTGTCCCCCCCTCTATCGTCCTCAAAAAAAAAGTTTTTGCATGCAGCAGCGGCTACCATTTACTTAATTTATTTCAGCTGTACAGACAGCCCAACCCGGATATATTTGCGTTGCTGCCGGAGCAGCAGCAGCAGCAGCAGCAGCAGCAGCAGCAGCAGATAGGAGGAGGAGGGGGAGGAGAGGGAGCGACGCTTACGCCGCAGCAGCAAGCTGCTGCTGATGCGCAGCAGCATGCTGCTGCTGCTGCTGCTTATATTGATTATCTTAAAGCATCATTTACTTCTGCTGCTGCTGCTGCTGCTGCTGCTGGTCCTGCTGCTCATGAAGCAGCAGCAGCAGCAGCAGCAGCAGCAAACCAAAACATTACTATACACCACAATAAACAGCAAGAGCTGCAGCATCTGCTGCAGCCTTCTATACGGGGAGCAACAGCAGCAGCAGCAGCAGCAGCAGCAGCAGCAGCAGATGGGCAGCAGCAAGACGAAGCACTGCAGCGGCAGCTGCAGCAGATAACAGCTGACCTAAAAGCATGCAACCTAGACAATCAGCAGCTGCAACGCATGCAGCAGCAGCAGCAGCTGCAGCAGCAGCAACTGCAGCAGCAGCAGCAGCAGCGGGGATCGTCGATCCCCAACAGACCCCCATGGAATGACCGCTTCGCTATCAAGGGCTCAGAACACCAGCACTTGTTTGCTTAACCAGCAGCAGCAGCAG